TGGCAGTTGACACCCGCACATTGGTACGCGATGCAAGTGTTATCCATTCCTCTAAATGTTCTAAATGTTCTCACTACGTTTTTGATGTCAAAGTTGTGCGTTCCCATCGGGCTCTTACCATATTCGGACCAGATATTACCAGCAAATTGGAACTCCTGCTCATGTACACATCATTCGGTATCAGTTCCGGAGACAGCGACAGAGCCTGTGTATTGTGTTTCTCGATCTGTTACTTCGAATAAAATGATATAGTTTTACACACAACTAGACTTGGCTGGGTTTAAAACGTCTACCAGTGATGAGGACTACATACTTAAATATTGAACGAATGCAGGTGGGGTTGAGATTCAATACTCCGGAAGTTCACATGTATTCGCTAACCAATAAGTCGTGCATAAGTACCTGTTTGACAACCTAACTAGAACACACTCGTACTTTGACGGATTTACAAACTATTATCCACAGCGGTATAATAACTTATGCATGCACATGCGCATATCTACTGGGCTATCAAAGCTTCTATTGTAGCCAGAGTTGTGTATCTAGATATGTGAGACTTTAACCTAGCCTACTAGCACTATCAATACAACTGGAGATTGCAGCCAAGATAAGGATCGAATCTCTGCCCCATACAACATTACCAACGTATCGGCAGCGTGGATTGTCGATCGTATATGACAGATGCCTCAATAAAGCAAACACTGACCCTACAATATTTAGAATAATAAAAGTTCATAGCTACACTACACTATCACTGCAATGGGGCGTGATTCTGTAAATATCAAAATTCATTTGGCCACACTTCACTGCATGCCTGACGCGAAAACCGCTTGCGTATATTCGAAATCTGATATCATAATAAATACTTTACCTCTATAATAGGGTGCCGACCATCCTTGATAACCAGGGTATTCGTAAAGTCTGGCTTGACTGTGAATACATTCGTAAGGTGGCACGCGTTTGAGACACTTGATGTTATCATTTTTACCATATCTAGCATTGAGCGAGTGTGCGTACAAAAAAGCTCGTGTAGATCGAGATAAACTTCAATTTGACTCGTATAAAATTCAATAGTTACGAGATAGCAAACTCAATGACATTGTCTATACCGTACATTGTTCTCCAGAGCATGGGACATACGTACCATAGACGTCAGGTGCGCTCAGTACGGTGTGTGCGAATGACAGCAGCATGTCGGACATCGCCACACAGTCCACGAGCTGTGTTAGTCCAATCACAAAAAAGTGACTGATTACTGTTATTATCTACCAATGTAATACCAAGGTTTAAACATAAACTACTTCGCCTAGGACCGTTTGCGTGGTTTGATGGAAGTAGTGAAAGATAAAATTCACATGAAAAGTATATGACTCACTATGTTTAGTTGTGAAATTCATCGCTGTTACTTAGATACTATGAACACAAATACCATTTATGAGAACTCCGGCAATCTCATCCACATCCGTGGACCTAGACTAAAAGTCGTACCCCGAATAATAGCTGTTGACATTTGCACGAGTTGAAGAAAAAGCAACCCAAACCCAAATTCACGTCATTTCATTCAAGCATACCTTGAACAGCAGCCCCATATTGTCTTGTATATTGTGAAATATCTTGCCAACGACTCTGCATCGAGGGTTGAGAGGTGCGAACAAAGATTAGAAGCGACAATCAAGGCAACATACCCCCAACAGATAAAATTGCCGACTATAAAATTGTAAAATTGCTGACTTTTTACTTGGCAGGCACTTGGCAAGCGCAAAAGGTTGTTTATCGGTGCTTGGATAGCCTGGCGTGGACGTGTTTTCAATACACACATTGATATGTAAGATTGAACTTACATGCCACTCATCAAGTAGACCTCTTCCAGCGATTCCGCCATACGGTCTGTACCAAACCGATGCGCATGCAAAAGTTTCAAAGTGACTCGATTTAGTTGTCAACAAAGACTAATAGTTTCTTATACGTCTCGCAGATAACTCATTGATATTGTCAGAAAAATATCTCAACATGTCTATAGAGATAGTTTGTATGTATTGACAGGCAAATCGAAAGGCTTCACCGAGCAGGCCCACTTCGTAAGTCTCTTTGTTATCGGAGATTCTGCACGCTATCTTCATTCACACTTGTTGCACCTGGGGTAGAGCCATACCGTTGTAGCGGATCTAAAATTTAGAAAGGAGTTGATGAGTTAAGCAAAACAAAGCGGGGGGGGGGAGGGGTTGTGCATACCTAAAGCATGTGATACCTCTGACTTTGCTGTATAGTCCGAGTACGAGCTTTGGCGTCTTATATATAATACCTACCAGATCACGGGTGGTGCAGTTTGTTTGAGTTTTCTTCTTCATTGGCTGCTGTTGTATAAAGATGTCTGGCAACGAACCAGTATTCAGGGGCTTCTCGACGATAATTCGATACCCTGAAGATATACCATGCGGCACCGTAGCTTAGCAGAACTCGGATTTTTTCGTCACAGTAAGAGTATGGTATGTAGTGCCTAAAGCAGTCCCAAATATAGTTCAAAGGGCAAATCACATATTTAACGCCAATATTGGCGCAATCTTTTTCATCTCACAAAATTGGCCTCCTTGGAACCTTGACAGGTACTAGGATAGCCACTCTATAGCGTGTGCGCATGTACAGCTTATGGAAGTACCGGACTCGATATAAAATTGCTGTTCTCTATTTTATATACAGGTACATCTCATAAAAGCACCGGACTTGCTTACCTTTCGCGAGGCTATATACAGGCTGCAGCTTCAACTTATAGTCTTCGCCATACTGCTGAATCAACTGCACAGAACCCAATAGGGTAGCCCATGGTCAGAAGTGGAAATACCTGCTTGCCTTTTCATCTGATCGCTATTTTCTCACGCAACGAATTGAACAACCACTTAAAATATTTTTCTTTATACCAGCAATATCAATTGATTATCTATACTTACTATACTATATGACTACTTGCATCTACTACTATTCTACTACCCAACTGCTGAACGAAAAGTAATGCCTGTCTGATGTGCGAGTCAACCAAATCACAATTACCAATGACTGTATTTCTGATGCAAGGCACAAAATACTCGTCTGCTGGTTATGACTGCTGCTCAGGAATGTGAAAATAACAGTGTCTCCCATTACGAGCGAGACCTCTACTTAACAATACCAGTGAACCTTTTTTTGTGAAACATCTTGTGTAATATGCCAAGTTTATGGTGAGCTGTATATACATTGACTGTGATGACTCGTTCGCGGACTAAAAACTGCTAGGTTGAGATTGTTGACTTAGCATTTGTGTTTAGTACGTATGAATAGTCTATCTACAATTTGAGCAATGTATTCTGGCAACCAGGCGACATTTACTGCTCAAGTATGCGCTGCATATCAGTAGATCGAAAGATTTATCGAACAATATTCAGCCTTTGAGTACTATACAAAATTGTGCTTACAGCTTCAATACAGCCAAGTCACAAGATACATTGCCTGGAGGAAATATCACATCAATTTTGTAACACACAATGCTTGGGGCGTCTTATATTTGACCTGCGATTTAGCACATACTGCCCGGCTGACATTTTGCAAATGTCTTGTGACACAAGACTGTAAAATCGATGAATATCTCCGTGTTTCTTTGTTCGGATGCATATATCGTAGATACTATGCAGCACATACCATTTGGATGGCTTCGATCGTCTCCGTGTACGTACCACGTGCTATATTAGAGTGAAAATGACTTTAGTTCTTAGATATTAATCGAAATATATGCGTAAACCCATAATATAACTTTTGCCACGTTCGGCATCCAGCATACATACCAACGTCAAGCAGTCCGTTCACCGATTCCTGCGTATCAATGATAGAAATGTTCCAGAATGAGCCTGTGAAAAAACCAAACAAATTTCTTATTCAGATATTCCAATGCAGTGGTTACTCGCATATTATTGCATGTAGCTGCCGTTTTGTTTTTGACGTGAAGTGTATACCAAGCACACCACACAGCCGCCCGACGGTTACAAACATACATAGATAACACTCAATATCTTCGAAGCATGCTTTTCTATTGAAAAGCCTGTCTCGTTGATGACTAAAATGCTGAAATCTCGCATGTTTTATGGCGTAATTCAGGGACTAATGTCACAACAATACAATACACTACTTATTTACCTCATACCTTCACAGCGAAGCACTTTTGAGTCTGCATTTTGACTGTGCTCCTGTGCCAAGTGGCTCCTTCATCTATGACTGTGGCAATAGTATCCCGCATAGCTGCATAGCGTTCATCTTTCAATAGCTGTATATTTAGTAGCGGCGATATAGAGATAATGACCTATATTGGCTCGATTTGGATGAGATTATGATCCCATCAGCGCTGCTGGCCAAATCGAGGTTTCTTATTAAGACGGCGTTACTTAGAAAATGTGTAACTAAATCGTACAGGACCCCAAAGTGCGACTAGACCTACCGCGCGCACGAAGCGAACATATGCAATTGTGCTGCAGTGCACACGAACTTATGGTTGCTGTACAATATTTCTGAACACATACATAGAACAATAGCCAGGTAACTTCGTAAATGATGTTATGATGCAACTAGTGCACACAAGCCATGCAGCATGCACGCTCATGTATTCACTATCGTTTTTAGATACGACAAACCGCTTACGTATTCTACAGCCTTATCAGGTACACGCATTATTTGGTACATGTACATTAAAACGAAAACAACATCAGAAAACAACGAATAATATTACATTTGGAGACACACTCACTGTTTTGTGCATGTTGGCACACGATATCACTGTAGGGATGTATAGATCGGAGATTGCGCAGCGACCTTCCGACGTGCAAGAGCAGTGAGTATATTGATTTCCCAAAATAGGAACAAATTTCATCGAACGCCTCTCTCACGACTAAATATACGTACAGGTAAATTGAAATTAACATTCGAATATGCTTGCAGCCGCACCTGCACTTGCATATACAAATGTACAAGAATCATCGTACCTCAGCGTAAGTCTTAAGCAGGGTGGATGATGCCATATCCAAAGCTTTAATCAGCGCTGGTATTATATCCAGCACTGCAAACAACAAGGAGGGATAGCGACTTTAGTACAGAGTATATTCAATCTCGGCGTGCTTCAATCATTCGATTCATAGTGAGTTGGAGCGTGGTCCCTACTCAATGTTGCATGAAAACATTATACCTATATAATAATCACAAATCAACTTGAATGCTACAATCGTGATCGTTGTTGTCACCTACACCATTATTCCAAAGGATATTGGTGATACGGCTACAATATGAAAACGTATTCTTCAGAAAAAAGATACCTTCCAGTATCTATAGTGGCTAGTTGTGGTGCACCACACAATACACCTGTAGTAAATACAAGCTAAGCACAGATCTACACCTACCATGTTTGAGTTTGATGATGCATGTGATGTTTGCTTCAACTGTCCGGAGATTCTCGCTAATCACGGGCTTGGCAAGCTGAAAGAAATAGCAAAGGATATCTCCGCGTGTATATATAGCGCCAACGCTTTGACGAAGCATCGCCACCTATTCCAAAACAAAGTTCAAAAAGAGAAACAACATTACAGTTCTTCCACTTACAGTCACTAGGAGATGATCCAAATCAAGAAACCTGCCCAGTACGCTCTTGAGCATATCGAACAAATCCTGGTAATGAAGTACAAGAATAAACACGGTTAAAGTGGAGCAGTCAACAAATTTACACTCTATTAATGTATACAATTACGGTTAAAACAGTTTTAGATTTTGATGGCTAGAATAACTATTGATCTATACGTCTATAATGAATTTAGATTTACACCGCTATATCAATTTTAAATTTCTACGGCTATAGCAATTATGTCGATAAATCATATGAACTAGTGTTTGCGACGAGCCCATACCTCATTCTGCAGTAGCTCCTGTACACTTTCCTGTCGTGTCTGTATGGTGGCTACATCTATGCGCATAGAGCATTTGAAGTGTTGTTGAATTAGTGCAATTGGTTGTATACGTCTCCACCGCAATAAATATTAGCACTCGGTATGTACAAGCACAGAACATTTGTGTACCAATTATCATGTGCACACTCTAGACAACCAAGTGCGATAAATATTGTGGCAATCTTAAAAAACACATACATAATACACGTGCAAATATATCAAATCTCGCGAAGTTTGTAGGTGACGACGGTAAAAGAATCTAGTGTCTTCAAAGACTGCATTACAAAAATGATCCTAGCAACATCGAAGCGATGTATTCACAATCTAATCGCAATTGTAAACCTGCGCTTAATCCGCATGGGACGTTACGTATGATGAGTGCACAAGCACTTGTCGGGATTGCAAAGGGTGATATTTGATGAGGGGGATGAGCCATGGGTGGTACCGGCTATGCTCCGAAGCAGGATACTACCGTTACTACAAATAGCGCATTGATGCACAAAGATACTACTTTTTCAATATTGACGTAGGCATATATGGCATGGAAATGTAAATGATGTCCTGAATATCTAGATGCATATGCCGACAATCTGCCTTCGAGCAGTATAAAGGTAAACATATTACTAGCGGAGATCGACTACACAAAAATGTCTGATAACCCGGGCAGTTCCAGTAATTTTTGGTCGAAACCTAGGTCACGTGACACACTACTATCGTCAGCAGAGTGTGCATCGCGTATTTATTCACCCGCCATATAAATTCAGGGTACAGTGAGCATTTACCAATACAGTTATGGAGTACGGTATTCCGCACTACAAGAAACAATTAAAGCTAGAAGATCAACGTTCGGGCGAGCTGCACCCATTTAATTTACTGTAGCATGTACCTGTAGAAGGCTGCAGTATATTCATGCGTAGCAGTCTCGCTCCGCCGGATGTGTGTGTTTGGTTTAACACATCAAGTAGCGAACTCTTCATCTGAGTTTTAAAGTTTGGCATTTGAATCGATCAGAAACCCCGGTGGATATTTAAATGTTGTATGCCAAAGTCGAGTTATCATTAGACTATAAACACCTCGTTTTAATGGTAATGAATAGATCTTCGACAGAATACTTGGTGCGAATTGGCCACAAACTGTAATGCGTACTTGTCTCACTCACCTGTACGTCCCTCTTGTTGCAGGCCAGCTCCAAGTAACGGGCAGAGTGTATATCTGCATTTTGCAACACGGAATGAAGTTTCAAATCGGCAAACCTTAGTCTTATTACATATGAGCTCAGAGTTTGTAATGTAGGCCGGCTATATACTTACCGATCATCATGACCTGGAACCCTGATGAAAAGCTGACATGCAACGATCTGGGCGCATAGATCATACAATGGACGTGTTTCACGTACTTGAGCAGTGTCGCTGCTGTTGCGAGGGTGTAGTACCTGTAACAACAAAAGTCATCTAATAATATCAATTACTATATCCTATTAGTTATATGTATATACTAGATTGCAGGTTATAGAGGGAAACCGACAGATGCTGCCAGGTCGAGAATAAAATGCAGCAATATAGTTGAAATTTTCCTATTAATTCAGGGGGTTCATCAGGCGAGAACTTTCCTGTTGTATTTCCAAACTAGTTCCGATAATGAATATTGCAACAAGTACCATCCGTGCGTGCACTGGTGCTTTCCTTTCGATCAAAATAGAAGTAAATATATTCATTTCTAAACCACATGAACACTATCAAGATAAAACCTTACATACTTCTTCGACACTTCAATCTCCACAGCTTTCAATACGTCATTCTGGCACAGTTTGCGGATCATCTCCAGACCTGTAGATTCGAAAAGATATGAATCAGATATACAAACTATCATAGCTATTCGTATAACACTTTATCCAACCAAATATCTATCCCACTATTACAATGATCTCTCAGGGGTCGCTCCATTCCACACCTGCCTTTTTCTCTGTATGGCGGGCATATACACCAATGCGACCTGTCACTCATGTACACGATGTGAATTAAACATTACCTCTGGCTTCGTTAAAATAGCTTCTGGAGACCGTGACGATTGGGATCTCAGGAAAGCTCTCGCTTAGCACTCGGTACATGTGGGTGGTTTTACCATTGATACACGCTGTATTGGGCATGATGAGCTGCGAACAGGATACAAGATGGGATCCACGTCCAATCAGTGAACTAGGACTACCTAACTATGTTTATAAGCAAAACAAGTATTCAAGATTTCTAAATTCGTCACTTGATCATACTATCGTTTAGATTTTAATTAACACCTTCAGCTGTTGCCATCAATTTCCATCAATCAATGAAGATTCGCAAACTCTACGCCACACTTACACACCGCTTTTGGTTCGTACATCTGGATAGTGGTCAGAGTCTTCACCAAGCTTTGGCTCTCAGTGAATTGGAAGAGCTGTAAATGTCTATTTCATACAGGAGTTTAAGTTATGACTTCAGAAATCTTTCTCCAGCTTTGCTTGTGCGTGTTCAGACCAGTGCGAACGACTTCGAGCTACAAGCAGACTACTGCTTTGAGAGGTGTGAATGTTACGCGAACTTGGCATGATTGCAAACAAGTGAATCTATTGAATTGGATCAACAGGGCATGTCCTATGTATATAAAGACGTATATAGGCTCACTTGAAGCTCTGGCGCAAGCATAAAATCATAACAGCAGCAAGTCGCGTGCGTACCCACAAGACCAAAGTGGCGGGGGATCTCTGATAGCACGATCTCTGATAACACGATCCACTTACGGTCTATTTACATCTGCGAGAGCATACAAGGGGATATATATGAGTTATATAGACCATGGAATAGTAGGGAAACTCGATAAGTTGGAAAGTGAATAAGCGAGATTTACACGTGCGATCCGTCACTTATCTTCTTGAAATTCAATGTTTAGGCGTAATGAGTCCTGCATACACATATATATAAAGAACTGAAAGGAGGGCTCTTGGGTCAACTGACGTCGACACAAGACGCAATATACATCTGTATTCATATCAATTACAGCTATTTCGGACTCTCTATGTTCATACCAATGACAGCCAATCCGGACTCAAGCGCGAGGCCTCTTCCCTCGACTACAGCTGATTGTGCGCATTTAAGTATACTTAGCATTCAGTAGGTTATGACAAACTGTGTAGGTAGCATTTCTTAACCCGTAACAACCCTGTGTGTCCTTCATAGTTTCCTCTTTCTCACCACACAGGGCGATCGTGCCATGTTTCCGCACTAGTCTTCATGAGGGACATGGTAGTTGTAATTTCGAAGCTTGTCTCGATGCGATTAGAGACACAGCACAACAACGTGTGGCGTATCAAGTAGGCGTATCCGGTAGGGCATCAATGCACACTCATCGCATATACAGCACCTTTAAGCTTGCGCAGGTTGCAAAATCGGTATTACGAATAAAAAACCGGCAATGCACTTACCTATATACACTTCTGGAGCTGTCCGTGCACTAGATTGATTGCAGCTCTTCTGACGCTTCGCCGACTTTCGTCTGGTGCATTTTTTTGCATTAAAGGTACGACATCTATTTAATGAGAATATCTTCCGTGTCCCATACTGTATTCAAATTACATGCTAAGAGGTTGCAATATGCTCTGTATGCTCTGAATTGTATTCGCTGCGGGATCGTCCTAAGAGATGTCTGGGTCGATCAGCTACGGCTCACGATCCGTGTCTGTACCTAAGTATCGCATAAATATAGCCTGAGCTGCAAAGCTGTTCACATGCGCACGCAAGAATTCCACAACTGTAGAGTGTATGACTCTCGCCAAGTGTGCGGAGGATGTATTATTCAGCAGCTTCCCACACACCACTGAAACAGTCTTCAAAAACGTGTACTTTCCAAGCCCTGAAGGCAACAAACGTCGTATAGTGTAGTGCAGCGCAGCACACTGTAACCCGTGATCCGGTTTGTGGGCTATGCGCTCCATTTTTACAAGTGCAAGACAAATTTATATATATATATATATATATATATATATGTTGACAGATGGTTCAAATACGATCGCATTTTTTAGCTAGGGATAGCCACACCTACTAGTATAAGTAGATATGCTCTTTCCAATTGAAGGCGAAAGAGTTTGCGAGTGCATTTGACTCAATCATACTAGTACTCGACCAAAATCCAGTGCCACGCGATTAAACTCGGAGCCATTTTTGTACTAAAACTTAACTATGTTTATCGGACATTGGAAAGAAATAGCTATATCACTGAGGAAAGCGCGATCATCGTACTCTTCATGCTTTTATCGTTAACACCTTTCGACATATTTCGTATTTTTTATTTTTATCGATCTCGCTGATAATATACCTCGTGCATGCTAATAACTGGATTCGTCAGATTAAACTATGAGTAAAAACATCCGCTCATGTGCTTGTAATTAGAACATACGACTTAAAAATATAAGCTTTCTATTCATACACCTATATCAATAGCTGCTATGAAGTCTGCGCACATTACCCCTAGCTGGCATCATTGGTACAAAATAGGATAGTCACAAGGTATAATAACAATCCTGAAATCGATGATATACAACGCCACGTGTATATAAAAGAAACAATATATAAGTGAGTTACCATGGTACATCCTTTAATTTGATCCACGTGCAAAGCAACTCTCTTTCTGCGAAACATGAGCACCCTTCAAGAATAGCTGAAATCAATCCACCGAATATTGTGTACATACAATTGCGGTAATCAGGCGCGAGTATCCGATACAGAAACAGATCCGCTGCAAACTCTAGTAGTGATACGATCCTTCAAATTGGCTACTTGCAATTGAAACCCCAATGCAAAGATCTTCATCGTAAGTACAGATAGTCGCCAAGACAACCAACCAAAAATTACAAATGTATGAGTACACTAAGTGCCCACATTACATGATGTAGGAGAATCTCGTGAAGATAACAATCGATAACTTGTGAGATTATAATATCCAGTACAAGCCCATAAATGGAATTGAGAATTCTACTTGCTGATCTTAGCGAGTACTTTGTGAAGTATGTCCCAAGCAATTCTTCCCCACACCCTGGTATAATACAAACGTATACAAAGTCACAAGTATACCCCAACATTTATTTAAAGTAAATTATTCATACCCTGATGTCGGAAGTTTACGAGGTGTCGACTTCAAACCAGGTCCACCCGAAACATTGGCATTGTAAGCACCCACCGACCGAGGGGCTGCTGGTGTTCGGATGGCAGACGACCTTAGCATTCTGGTTTATGGGATCTTCCGAGCGTTGGCTGACTGCGTAAATGAATATCTATGATTGACAACGCTGTAGAGTTGACTTACACAGCTATATGCTGTAAAAGTAAGTAGTAGTGTAGCATAGTGCCTACTGTGAATTGGCAGACCCCATCTAATGAACACTCGGTTTGCATTCCAAATATACTTTCGGTACCACGAAATCGTGTTTTCAGACTAGTTCAAGCACGACAGAACCGCATTCCGTAAAATATGATAGGCACTGTGCTGACTGAGTCACCGTATGGAACCGAGAGTGTAGTGCCAGTGTTGTACAGTAGTCTCAATATATATAAATGCGTTGAGCGCAATAAGCGGTACAATCTCTATACAAAATGAACAGCGTGCGGTCAAAAGCAATCCATACTTGAACACTCTAGTAGAAAGACGGCACACCTTTCACTATATTCACTTTCGTTTGCTCAAGTTGAAGAATCAACTTGGTCAATCTCACCATAATACCAAGTGCTAGAGAATCACAGGGATTGGCACTAAGAATGCAGATTATGGCTGAAGACACTCCCAAGACTGAATCGACTCGTGAACTGGTGAGAGTCAGATCACGCGCCATTTCCCAGTTCAAATACAAGATATAGAGGCTTCAGAGTAATAAGAATGCGTGAATCTTGCGATACTTAGCAGGGCACTAAAATATTTTTAAGAACCAAGCAGCAATATTAATGGTAGCGTTTGAATAGAATACTCGGATGTGCCGCGCCCCCGCCCGTCTATGCGAATGTATTCGATAGTGCTTGAACGTGACACCTCGCATGTTACACATACACAGGAACACTTTCTGTGTATACTACTTGTTCCATGAAAATATGGAGGACTGAGAGAAATCAAACATACTGGCGACCAGTGTTTAATAGCTACAGAGTGTCGCAATGAGAGCTCGTATCTATTTGTTCAGCTTGTGTACAGTGTACGTGCATTAATGTAATACCAACAAACCTCATAGCCTCTTACAAGAAGATATGGACTATAGAGATAGGCTATGGCCTCTTATAAATAATCAATTAAATATAGCATCCCGAAAATGAGATGGGCTTTCATAGCCTGCTGAAAATTGAACAAGGCTATATCTGTTGAATTTCAGGAGGTCAGGAGGCTATATATCTTATTTCTATTTTCTTTCGTGTATAATAGAAGCGCGCCAACTGCAGTTCCCCAAATATAGAGTTAAAACCCTGAAAACTCAAAACCCCCTTTTGGAAAAAACAACAAATTAAAAAATGAAGAACTACAGACACATGATGTTGCAGCCGATGTTCCGAAGAAGCTGATATTGTAAAATACATACGAGAAAGCTGTGAAGAAAGCTTATACTTTCCATCAGGCCATTACTGTACTTTACACGTAAACACATCTGTTAGTCGTACGACACTGCAACACATATCAACGCGCAATATGAAGCTTTTAACGCACAATATGCTGACATGCCATGTCGCAAAATGCAAGAAAAACAACTTTCCACTGAAGATTGTGTTGGCAAATGAGAGCAGCATCCACATGGAGGAGAGCGATATGAACCCTGACTTTATCAGGCATATGATACCTAAGATTGATTGGCGAGCCCTAAAAGAAGCAGCAGATTCGGTATGCACAAGCTGCCTTTGCTTTATGTAAATCATTAGTATGCATATCTTCTTGTTCAAATACATCCTATAAGTTCACACCGTAGCCATAAGTTATCGCCTTCTGATTGGGGTCGTGAGCATATATATGTGAGTATATTATTGAACCTGTGATGTCTTTTGCTTGGATTTAAACCATGCCACATTTATTACCGTTCTTGTGTGTATAGCTGGAACTCACAGGTTTGCCAAGTAATGCCCCGACGCCCGAAAACGTGGACGAGAACACGATGAACGCTTTACATCATATTCTAATGGAAGCGGATATACAGAATTGTCAATTAGTGTGTCCGAATGAAGAGTGCAAGCGAAGCTATCCTGTGGTACAGGGTGTGCCAAATCTGCTACTAACGAAGGATGAGGTTTGATTTTAGGTCATTTAGTAAAATATATAAAAGCATATAGAAGTATATGACACATTTTACTTTCGCAAGTATTTAAATGCTTTGTGAAGATTGCAGCTTTACTTGATAGTGCATCTTTAAATATTGGTTGCAAAAAGAAACCAAATACGTGTCGCTCGAATTTACTAGTAGAAAATGGTTGTAATATGAATACTACTTGTAAATCATGAATAGATCCGTGGTTGTTGGCTGATGCCTGTAGTTGTGCAACATGTATACTCAATACGTGCACATAGCAGAAATTTCTTACCAGTTACATTTTGTGATCGTGGCGCATATTGACTTGGTCATTGTTAGGCAATTCGCTATTAATGAATTAGAGTTGAAGCTATTTAAATCTTTCATTGTGAGTGTGTCCGAATTGTATATTGTGAGCAGGGAGGAATTGTATGCTGTATCATTGACCTGTCAACTTGTTCAAAAATGCGGTGACGAGATGTCCCAATCATCATACTGGATAATAAACTACATATTTTGCAGCTTGTGATAATTTACACCACAGATCTAGCTTCTTGCGAACGGAAGGAATCTAGTAGCTATTAAGTTAAGTACCCCCTGATGAGCCAATTGCTTCCGACTAGGCTGGCATGTGAAGCAGTGTGTGCTCAAACGTTTTCATGGCATTTCTATGAGCATTCGCTGAGAGTTCAGGAACAACAGTGTGAATGTTTCACGGCACAGTGGTAAGAATATAACGCTGGCATGTCTTATTCGGCACGGCATGTTAATGCATTGTTGGGATGATTCTGCCAAACTATGTGGTGGGTTGTCTTTCTACGGTATTCAAAATAACGCACATCAACAACCATACGAAAACATCATGTTGGTGGTACTGGTGTAGAGGACTTTCGACTCGTGTATATATGTACTCTGAAGAATCTACACAAAGACAACCGAGGGATACGTATAGAGTTGAAACCTAGCCCATGTGTAACGTTACTCTCGAGAGTATCAGTAAGTCTGACAATGAAACCAAGTAAGTGCATATTGCGCGATGATGTGAACTATACAAGATTCATTTACAATGGCAATATTGCATTAACCTCAAAGGTACCTGAGAAGACATATGTGAACTGAATACACCAACCTAGATGCAACTACAAGTCTATATTATGTCCTATAGCTGCTCACTCTGATAGAAATCACAGGCATAGAAGTATATATAAATTACAATGCAAGAATATGGTTTTATACATACGTACAAACATATATATATATGTGTGTGTGTGTGTGTGTGTGTGTGTGTGTGTGTGTGTGTGTGTGTGTGTGTGTGTGTATATATATGTATATATATATATATTATATATGTATATATATGTGTGT